AATGCAGTAAAACTGTATAACTTTATAGTAACACATTGTAGAAGAGTAAATTATTTGTTTAACTACTGATTTTGTTGTGTTTTTTAATTTATATTTTTATGTGATTTTACTAGCTAATATCTGTAATTTACTAAATCTGTAAAATAACAGCTAAAAAATAATGTAGTACTTTAAAATTCTCCATCCATCCATTATCTATACACTGCTTAATCCTCACTAGGGTCGCAGGTGGCTGGAGTCTATCCCAGCTGACTCAGGGTGAAGGCAGGGGACACCCTGGACAGGTCACCAGTCTATCACAGGCTACACTTAGAGACAGACAACCAAGCACACTCACATTCACACCTACGGACAATTTAGAATCACCAATTAACCTCAACATGTTTTTGGACTGTGTGGGAGGAAGCCGGAGAACCCGGAGAGAACCCACGCTGCACGGGGATGACATGCAAACTCCACGCAGAAAGATCCAGGTGTCCTCACTTAGACGCGAATCTTCTAGCTGCGAGGCGACCGTGCTAACCACCAAGCCACCTTGCAGCCCATTTTAAAATTGTCAATATATATAACTTTTCTCTATAGCTGTGAAATAATCATATTTTTTTACTGATTTAAATACAGAAAAAAATGCATAATTTTGCAGTCTAACATTGTAAAAGAACAAAATACCATTTCTGAAAAGACCAATTTTTGATGTGAGCATTATGTACAGTTATGACTGTAAACACAAAATTCCTTTTCCACTGGCTCGTTGCAAATGTTTCTACAAGCTTAACTTTACGTTGTGATTTTCCGTACAATGTATGAAATGGAGAGTCCAAAGACTAAAAGCCAACTAGAGAGGAGGACATCAGAAACCCTCAGGTTACATTCCATAAGCATTTGTCCATACGTTGAGAAATGAGCGTCTTTAGATATATAATACTTTGCCTCTAATTCTGACCCTGGTTATGTAACAGACTCCTGTCCCATCACTGAAACCAGTGTAACCCCGATACGCATAAGCATTTTATTTCCCTGAAAATGTGTAAAAACTGATTATGAACACATGACTGAGAGTTAAATAACAAATAAATAAATGATAACTTAAGAGCTTATAATTGATTTTGTTTTCACATTCCGTCCACTTTATTATTCATTATGTGATAACCCCAATGCTGCGATGAGCCATCTTTCCTCAGCAAAGTGGTGAAGTCGGGCAAGAGACTGGAGAGGACATGACTAATGAGATCTCAGCTACTATGTGGGATAAAGGTTAGGTCCTGCACTTAGATACAGCTGTTTATGGGGTTTTTTTGTTTTTTCTTTTTCTTTTTCAACTCCTGTGTAAGAATACTCTCTTTTGAGATATGTCAAGCCTGCACAGAATTCATCTCTGCACAATACATCTTAGTTAAAAGTCTGTCCAACTTGTTCCTGAGCAGCTGTGGCATCACGCTGACGCTGACAACACTGGCTACATTACATTTATATCTAACAAGAAATAAATTGGACCGTTTCAGTAAGGGAAAAATATTTGCTGCATCAATACTACCTCTGGCTGACTTCTTGGGTGACATCCTGCATCATGTTTAATTTCCCTTCAGGGGATCAATTAAAGTCTTTTATCTTATCAAACTGTCTGAGCGTGAAGGCTGAAAACCTCGTCTGTAGATGTTTGTCGCTGCTCTTGGTAGGCGAGGTGAACGATATCCTGTAAAAAGGTCTGAGTTGTCCTGTTATATAATGCGCGGCTGAACAAAAAATATCATTCAAGCACAGTCTGTATGTGCCAACACCCACCTGAGAAGATGTGTAGGACGACAAAATAAAAGAAACACGTAAATGTATAGTGTTCTAAGAAGCCTGTCCGTGATCCTGATGAATAAAATGAGTGGACAGCGTTTCAAATGCATTTGCAACGGCATTATAACGCCTGTCACTCAAGCTCCCGACTGTGTCCTGCACAATCATTTGACAACCAGTAATTTAAGTCAAATTATGGTCCAGATTTCTTTGTCCTCATAATAAGGAGGGGAATATTTATTGGGCCTACGAGCAAACAGTGCCTCGTGCAGCTGATTAATAAGGCATTTGTGAGCTTATGTGTGCTTTTCTTTCCACACAAGCCTTTGAAGAGATTTAAAGGCCACTTCAAATCACTGAACCATCCGCGAATTATCAGAGACGAGGAGACGCTGTCACTGTCAGCAATTGGTAAAGCTTGTTTGCAGCCTTTATTCAGCACGCACACACATCACAGTTGAGTGTGACACGCAGCTCACGAAAGGGATGAAAACTGAGGTGAAACGGCAAATCCTCGAGTGGCTCAATGTTAATCAAAGTGCTTATTTGCCAAAGAGTCACTTGAAATTGTGGTGGCGCTTCTGTGTGTGTGCAGCCCTTTGTCCTGCTACAACTAATCCCCCAGGTCACAGCTGTGATTAAGTATGTCAACATGTCTGGTTCAAAAAGGGCAAAAAAATAAATAAAAAATTAGTCACTGGAGATCCAAAGCCTGGACTGCACACACAACACACAAGCTTTGAGTTCAGTTAAATGTTTGGTCAAATCAAAAACAGTTTGGTGCTGCAGTGTTCAATCTAGAGCCGCAACAATTACTCAACTAATCAATCAGTCCAACACAATTTTGTGAAGTCCATTTTCAAGCAGAAATGCCAAACATTTAAAGGTCTAAGGTCCACAAATATGAAATAAAAGTACTTTTACTTGCCTTATAATATAGTAAATGGAAACAAAACAAGACATTTGGTGGCACCGCCTCAGGAGTTTTTTCAAACAAATTGTTCGTTTTGGCCTTAGTTCAGTCCAGTCAAACAAGAATATACTCACTTCTCATTTCCTTAAAGTAATGGTTGGAGTTGCATTTTTATATTGTGTTTACTGTGTAATTTACTCTTCAGATGAATGACAAATTAAAGGAAGAACCTGAATCTGTAAGGGGAACTTTGCTGGCATGGTTTGAGTCCACTTGCCCCCTTAGAGGGCAGACTCACTGCAAGTCAATAAGAAGTTGTTTTAAGTGATCACATTTATCCTGTGATGAAACAGCTCTGTCCTGATTCGATGCCTCCATCGACAGGGCACAAGGGGTCACTGAATGGTTTGAGGAGAATGATGTGAATCATATGCTGTGACTTTTGGAGTCACCAACCAAAATCAAACACCTGTGGGAGATTTTGGACTAACGTGTTAGACAGCACTCTCCCCCACCATCATCATAAAAACACTAAATGATGGTGTTCATCCCTCCTGTAGAATCCAAGTGGGGACCTAACACCTAGCCAGAATACTTAATCTCGTTTTTTTTTTTTGTTTTTTTTTCCCCTTTAATTTGTCACTTGTCTGTATATCCAAGTAAATAATTTTGGTTTCATCGAATCCAATCTGTACATCAAGATGAGTCATCGAAACAATGTTAATGTTTAATTACAGCAACTGGAATGAGAATGTTTAGTCATAAAAGTACTCAGCTTTTGTTGTTGTTTCCACATATATTAACTAGAAGAGCACTTGAGGAACACAGTCCTCCACCAAGGCCAATGTTCTACCTTGTGGTTTTAAATAAAATGTGCTCCAAAGTTTTAATGGGTTCCTCCTGAGCTTACACTCCAATGTAAAAACAAACTCTGCTGTAAGCTCACAGCTTATCATTTATTCATACATTAATCATCGATTCATAATCAATTACTGGTGTGTTTGCTTATTTTCAGAGTACCAAAAGTGTTTCCAGCTTAGTGCAGATGAGTGTGTTACACAAGTGAGGTCAAAAAGAGAGGCTGTATGAGGACTGAGTTTCAGTCTGAGGAAGCTCCTTCTGTCACCATATGAAATGTAGATTCAGAGTTTCTGATGTGGTCAAGAAGAATTCTGTAGGTTACACGTGTTGAATGATTTGGAACAATGAAAAGAGTTTTGTCGTCACTGTCCTGCTGTAAACATACTGTCACTCTTGTTTTTCTCTTGTAGAAAGATGTTGAACATTTCTGCCTTTCTCCCTACTGCAACAGATAGAACATTACCAATGAATCAGCAAAGTGTCTATTTTATTTTTAAGTTCGTAAAGTTTTTCCACAGCACCACCTCTGCACCAACTTTTAGATCTATTTTTGAAACAGACAATCTTGGCTCTTGTCTTTGGTGGAAGAATAAGTCAACTAAACAAACAGAGCCGACCTTTTCTTTTTTTTAAATCCATTTTACTGTTTCTTTAAAATCTATTTCTTTATAGACTCAATAAACCACCATATTCTAGCAAAGACGTCTTTGAATCTGTTCTTCGATGAGCCCAACACACACTGCAGTGCACAGAGCCCCTCCTCCATCATTGGTATCAATGACAGCTGAACTTGGAGAGAAGTTTCAGCTATCTAGTATTCGCTCAGACTGGACAATAGACTCAGCTTTGATCAAAATCTGTGATATCGACTAAAGCTGCCAGAAAAAAGACTCTTTGTTATCTGCACACTCAAAGCGCACTATTCTGTTCCTCGGTTACTGCTCTGGAAAAGAATTAAACGCAGAATACTCCACTGCTCCACGTGTTTCCTGACTGCGCTAACTGACATCAACTAGAGAAAAAAAAATCACCCTCCTTTCCAAACACTGCCTTCAAATCACTGGCCTCCACACCCTCCCGGCCTTCACACACATTGCTCAGATCACAGCACACGACCCTGGGCGCACCCTCAGTCCATTTGTCTCATTGCTCCCACATGGATATCAGCTTTAAAGTTGAGAAGGGTGCTTTGTAATGTAGCAGGAGTCGTGTCCCCTCTGTCACACACGATGCTAAATTGATACTCCACTGCATATACTTATATGTCTGTTCTTATGCCTGCATCACCGATACATACATGTGCTCTGGTACGGATGTCCTGTATATGCTCCATGTATGGAATAAGCTGTGCATCCACTGTCAAAATGTATTTCCCTCTGGGCATAATAAAGAGTCTACCTTATCAGTATTTGCACTGAAAATACATTAACATACACATTACCTGGTGGAACTCTCTCTGGTGCTGGACGGCCCCCACGTCGCCTCCTATGGGCAGCTGCTCCGACAGCTCCTCGTCCTTGGCTGTCAGCCATTCTATGATCTCCTGCAGCGAGATCTGCAGCTTCCCGCTGTTGTCGGAGAAGGCCTCTAGCCGCACCCTGACAACACACACAGAGAGCTGCTTTAGCAAACGGAAACATTTTCCAACACAACAACCCAATAATTCAGACGACAATCGGTCACCTCTTACTCTGATCCAGACTGGCAACGTAGGATTTACTGTGTTAACATCCAACTTATGATGTTAATTTTCACTATAATTCAAATTTGCAACTCAATAATGATGCATGGGTCACATTTACACCTGCAGGTCTTTGATTTGCCTGTTGATCATCCCGGTGAGATTTTTAAAAATGACATTGTGGCAGGTCAACCTGTTAGCTGAACGAAATAAGCATGTCTTCTTAAATCAAATACAAGCACATTATTGCACTTCATGGCCTCTTCTTGGGTATTTCGCAGACGACCTTCAATGCCTCTTTAGTCTGAGTTTTTCTTAATTTGGGCAGCTACGTCAAAGTCCAAGATGTGCTTAAGTCAAACTGTCAGGACACACATTTGGGACTCGCTGTGAGAAGGTCTTTGCTGCTCCACAGGGCCACAGCTGCATATGAAGTGTGTCAGAAGGAAATATGCTTAAAATAAGCTGCACCTTCCTGATCATGTCGCTGTGGAAAATTCTATATGTGAATTTTGTATTCTAGCATTGCCTTCAAGGATTTTTGAACAAGCATTGAGTGGTGATAATTACAATACAAGATAATTATAATATGCCATTAATTCTGTAAATGGTATGATTTTAATTGAACACACATTGAGAATTGTGCATGAGGTGACTATTGATAATCTAAAGTAAAGTTCTGTCCTCAGAACAGCAACATTCCCACAAATCAAGCTCAGTAGCTACAGTAGTAACCTGAGCCAGAGTGAAGGGCAAACATTAACTTATGTTACGCATGTATGTATCACATATGTGAGGAAATAAGCTCAGTTCTTTTATTTTCTTTTAAAAAAGGCCCTGTTTCCAGCTAGAATATTGTGTATAAGAGCAGCTCCTCAATGCTACAGGTAACATTAGCAGCTCTGCCATGTTCTTTATTGGATTAGGGAAAGTTTACACTTCAGCAACTGCAGCCCAACTCATAATTCACGATAAAACACATATATTTAAGGTTCCCTGGAGCAGTCTTTCTATGAGTTAGTCCCTGTTATATTTGTCTTGTGCACAGAGGCCACACAGGTAGCAGTAACACAACCAGATAAGCAGCAATGTGCCCGTAAAGGCAAGGTGGGAAAAAAAGACTGTGAGCAAGTAAACACTGATGTAAATGACGCGTGCATTTCAGCTTCACAAATGTTTTATGAGGAAGAAAAAAGCCTCTCAACATGTTTGTTAGACCTCAGGAGTACGCGCAAAGATTTTATGTGCGTAACGCAGTTTTCTTGTAACATTAAAATCGAAACATGCTGTACGAGAACAACACGGAACAAAGAACAGTGAAGCATTCGTCTAACCTCTGCCCTACAGAGATTAGACTATGCTTACATCTAAGGAAGCATCTAAACGGGTGTGATAGAATAAAATAATAGTCTGATCTTAACTCGATCTATACTGCCTTACGTCTGTTCTATTCTTTATTTTCTTTCCTCTGCAGCTTCAGTCTTTGTCTTTCAATGTATCATGTATGCAGCCATCAGATCCAGATTTAAGACCTTTTTTTAGGGTTCTTGTTTTTAAGTTAGTCGGTCACAGATGGCATTTTTCAAACAACTCAGGGAGCTTAGCTAGTTAGAGCTGATAACAACACTTGTCTTTTTAGTCAGCAAAATCTGTGGTGATAGACAAGAAAGGAGAAGCTGCTCTGGTCTACTGCTGGACCCAGTGTCAAAACGTACTAAGAATTCTGATGGTAAATCTGCCAGCCTTATAACTGTAAACTGTATGTGTGACAAGTGAGAGCGGAAAGCTTGACAGGCGTAGCAACAACAACTGAGGAGTTCAGGGCATAAACGGTCCATTTTCTCTGTAAGAAATATGCAAAATGTGTTGGCATCCAAGCCAAATCATGTATCTATGTGTTCTAAAAACAGCAGCAATACAGAGCATCACATAATGAAACGCCTGCAGAATTGTGCTTTTTACAGCGCCGTCAATCACAAACACATGTCGAGGCACATGCAAGACAAGGTGAGAAACAAAATTGCAGGTGACTGCTGCAGGTTTGCCAGAGTAAACTAGGAACAAATAACAGAGAGAATTTATCTTCTTGCCACCTGCCAGCAACGTGTGAGATGTCTGAGGGAGGAACTGCTTTTGTATCAGTGGCACAGCTGGCACTGGAGGGGTGGAGGCAGTGTGAAAGCTTCCCAGTGTTTCAATTACACACCAGAAGCCAGCGCTCAGATGTCATTATTCCTGCACATCACAATTTGCCAGCACCGTCACATTAGAGACGATGAGTGCGAGTGAACGCAGGAGTCAGAGGGAGGAGCGCACAGGCTAAGTGTTGCTGCTCATAACCTTAAACGCAAAGACGTAAATGGACTGATTTTCAGACGACAGCCTTATGCGAAATCAGAGCAACACTTTGCAATTTCACAGACACAATAACAATTTTGATGAAATTCTGCAAGATGCAGGACAAAGGGATACCTCATGCACCGCTAAAAGCTCATCCATTATCTCTCAACCTGCGCCATTAGCATGCCACTGTCAGCGATGCCTCGTAGTGACTGCAGAAGGACTTTAAGGCAATTTCCTCCAAATTGAATTTGAGTTCTGACACATGAGGGATTAGGTATCACTTCAGGGATGGCGCTTGCAGGAAGGCAAGTGGGGAAAGCTTTGAGACTTTGAGGGGGAAAAGACGGAAAGGTGAAATCAAGCTTGTAAGTGCACATTTCAGAATTGATAGGCCTCTTTGTTCAACCCCGAGTCAGAAAACCTGTGTGAAGCAGACCATGATGTCCCCTAGCCTCTTGTTGCCCCTCCAGCTCTGCTCTCTGTGGTTATTGAATCAGAGGAACAGTTTTTCCGTGGCCCCAGCAGAACAGGCTTTTAGTCCATAACAGGCGTGAACACACACACACACACACATACGTACAACACACACACACACACACACTCAGCATGAATGGAGCCAGCTTTGTGTTTCAAGTCAGAGCAAACCCGGGCCTCGGATACGTCTGAGTAAGGTCAGCCATCAAAGGATGACCCTGGCATTTTTGCAGAGAAGCTTCAAAATGCTTCAAACCACACACAGAGAATCGCACACAAACAGACGCGCACACAACTCGCAGCACACTAACCGATCGCTGCTGCTTCCATTACACACACGGAGGGTGAGACAAATAGAGAACTGCCTGGGCTGTAATGGAATCGTCGTCGCATGGAGGCTGCTGCCAAGAACAACTCCTGCCCTGCTAAGCTGCAGGGAGGTCAGGCTGAAGTTTTGCCAGTAGGGAAGGCTGACTGAAGCTATTTTATCTCCACTGGAAACATCATGATATTAATTTAAGTGCTACTTATGGGCCAAGTGCCGGTGCATTACATTAGGAGATGCCAGGGAAGTTGAGTGTACGTGTTCAGAAAAACTGGAAAGAAAAAGGACCAAAAGAGGAAGCAGGTCAGGTACGTGAGCTCCTCTGTGTTTGGAAAGACTAATTTGTGATTGAACCTTTTTCTTTTTCTTGCAATTGTTGTTTTTTGCCATTTTGGATCAGAAAAACAAACTATGAATAAAACTCTGGCATTTTACCAACTTATTAAACTGACATTGCAAATCTGTAAGTAAAGTGTTGCCCATTTACAAGTCTACTGGGAACAATGAGTGTGATGGAAGTCGGGGTTTTAGCCACCTGATTAAAACACTCAGTTGGGTCACCATTTTCTGAGTGTAGTATTTATCTCCTTAGCTGCTAAATGCCCCACCATATTATCCACCTAACTGCTAGGATGGCTCCTGACTATGGGATTGGGGAAATCAATCCTTGAACAACTGTTCATTTGATTAGCAGGAGGCCATTTTAGTTATTTCCTCACTTTTGGTGTTGTCTTTTTTTAAAAACTTTTTCTTCTTGTTGGGGGCTTTGACATTTGTTTTGGGATGATGCTTAGAATTAGGTTTTGGTTGAATATAAGCTAAAGGGTGGGATATGAAAAGAGTGTGGATGCAGATGGTTTAAGAATCTGGTGATATTGCATATTTTTGTTATTGTCAACAAAAGGCTTAAAAAGGCCAAAAACAACAGCTTAGTCCAACTCCGTGGCTCTCAGTTCAAAGCCCATTTGCTCCCACCAAAGTCACAAATCTTTGAAAATGGGTCACACAAATATATACTATCATATTTCAAATCCCCTACTTGATTTTTGAAAAAATAAATAAATAAATAAAAATACTCAAACAGAAGTGAATAGTTTCTTTGTTGGGGACTATTTTCAGCTGCAGATTTGCTGCTCTAGAGAGCATTATGGCTCCAGGACTGTGTATGTGGGACTGACTCAAAAATAAACTGCAGCGCCCGTGTTCATGGAAATGCAGAAACATGTCACCCAGTGTAACAGTTTAGCTTCATGATGACTTTGGACAACAATGGAAGAATAAAAAATTGAATGCACAGATGCTGTTGTCGGATGAAATTAATTGCTTGTGTTGGTCTCTTTATTTGATTTATGTCAATTTGAAAAATACTATCACTGGAATCTGTACGACTGAGGGCAGGGATCGGAGAATCCAGTGTGTCAGCAAATGTCCTTACAAGTGTAGAAATGCAAACAGGTGTTCTGTGCGAGTGACTCACTCTTGAACCGTCAATTTATTAGGAGGTTCGCTTATTTCTTAAAGCGCTCTTTGGTGTCAGCTGAGAGTGCGTCTTTGACATCAAGTATCAGCCTGAGAATAACAGAAGGAGAAAATTACCAAAAACCAAAGTTGTGCCTAGTCTGTGTGTGAGAAGGCTGTGCAGCTGTGTGTGTGTGTGTGTGTGTGTGTGTGGGTGTGTGTGTCTGTGTGTGTGTCTGTGTGTGTCTGTGTGTGTGTCTGTGTGTGTGTCTGTGTGTGTGTCAGGCTGCTCAATAACAGCCAAAAGGCTTGACGAC